GCCTGGCCATTTTTTGGTTGCAGCCATCATTGTTGTTTGGCGGGCCCGGGCTGGGGATTCGAACCCACCACCTTAGGTGTATGTGGCGGGCGCCTTAGCCGCTTAAGCCACAGGCGCCGAGCCCACTGTAATGTTTTAACCCAAAGAAGTGTTTGGTGTATGAGAATCTGATACCCAATAATTGTGAAGAAATAATTTATTTTTGTGTTTTATGATATTTTAAAAGCAATTATTAATTACAATCAATAAAGCTTATTAGTAATTCTTTTAAAGTTACTTTTATCAGTAATTCTTTTAAAGTGGGGCACTGTAAATTTTACAGATAGAACTTGCAGAGACCTTGAACTGGATAAGTCTCTTAAGGTCGTACAGCACTAAGGGTAAAGCCAGGCACCGAGGCTGGACAGCAGGACCTCTGATCCTGCATCGTTAACCACAACAATGGGTCGCCATTTTCTGCAGAGATGTCACAGCCAACTTGGAAAAACAGAGTAGAAAAGAAAAAAGCCACTCAGAAACATCCTGCCCAAATAAAACCCATATTCCCATTTATTTTGATCTGTTTCCTATGGTGACTTTCTTCCTGATATCCAGATCTAGACACAGAACCCCACAGCTGATTTATCTGCCTGATGTATGGGCATATGTACAGTAGGAGAGGAATTCAACAGCTATTAGCTATGCATGGAGTAACAAACCCACCTGGAAAAAGAACTGTTCTGGGAAATCCAGAACTTTCTCTGTCACTAAGTGGAGGAGGGAAGCAAGTGATGTAGTTGTGAATGGCCAGTCTCAGCAGGAACCTCAAACTGGAGTGAATGAGGAGGCCAGGCTCCTTTTGGGAGCCAGAAAGGTGGCCAGACACCAGCCTCTTTGTCCCCCTGACGCTGGCTGCTCCTATCCCGCTACCAACAGGCAAGGAAGAATATTGACAGTGCCGCCAATCACCAGAATCTCCAATTTTTAGATTGACCCAGAACTGAAGGGTTGTTGCAATACAGTCATATTTTGAGTCCTTACAAGGTAAAAAAATAATAATACTTGCTATACCTGAGCATAATTGTACTATAATGTAATTACTATTCAGGTGAGGACAGTAACTAGGGAAATTGATTTACAAACTGTCTGGCTGGGTGTAGGTATTTGTTTATATTAATTATGAAGAAAACATAAGAGTCTTATGGATATTATTGTTGTTTAAGTGGGTTTAAGGAAAACTGACTGAAAGTCGTGGTTGCAGACAATATTCTGGGACTGCTGCTAGGCAGTATGTATTTCCTGGCACTCCTGAACGTGGTCAGATATAAATAGCAACACAGACATTTAAGAGCTATTCTTGTTGGGGAAAAAAAAAAGTAATTAATTGGTGTTATACACAGCGGACTTCTCTATTTATTATTAATTTTTTTTTGCAACCAACATAGCTTTAATTACCTGTAATTGTTCTCAACATCAGGCTGCTCATAAGTTCTGCCTTCTAGACAGTGATTATGCATCAATACCTTAATCTATCACTTTCATTATTTTAGTCATTTCCGTATGTAAATGTACATTTAATTCAGACAACAAACTAGGTACTTCCCGCTATTCCTTTCTAACAACATGTGTCTTCTTAAGGCACAATGTGGATGATTGAGATTTTTCTTCCTTTGTTTTTTACTTAGGTAAATAAAAGTGCACTGCTGTGGGCTTTTTTGTTGACTATTAGGTAGAAGCAGTGGCATCAGGTGTACAAGGAGCTGGGTTTGTTACTGATCAGAATTTTACTAGGTGTCTCCACAGAACTGCATTTGCTACCTCATTGTATGAGCTGAAGTCTGCAGAAATCCCCTTAAAGAAATCTCTCAGTGGATGAACAGGAGCCCATTCCTTAACCTCATCCCCAATGTGCAGGTTTCTGTCCTCCCAAGTTAGACACTAGAACTGTCTCCTGAATTACTGAACTCCACTATGCTATTTACTCTCAGACGAGGCATTGCATGTCTGAGTGAATTTCAAAACTAAAATTCAAAAGCCTTCTCAGGATATCTGGTGGGAATACATTAGCTCCACCTTGTCCTTGTGGATGACACCACTATTTTGTTTCTGATCTCTTATGCATGCAGGTAGAAATTCTTTAGTTCCTGAATAAAATAAGTTTCCTTGAATGCCGGACAAATGATGGTGCCCTTTGTTCCTTTTCAAACTTGGTTTTGGATGTGACAGTCTAATTGGTGGGCCAAAGAGTTTTAAATGAAAAAATGGAATTAAAAATTGCATTCATACTCATCAAAAATAAGTCAAGTCACATCTTTGGTCATCACTTACTTGGTTGAATAGCCATCATAGAACACACACACAATGTTTCTTTCTTTTTTTTTTTTTGTTTGAGAAAGAGCCTCAACTGTCCCCCTGGTTAGAGTGCTGTGGCCATCACAGCTCACAGCAATCTCCAACTCCTGGGCTTAAGTGAGTCTCCTGCCTCAGCCTCCCAAGTAGCTGGGACCACAGGTGCCCACCACAACACCTGGCTATTTTTTGGTTGCAGCCATCGTTGTTGTTTGGCGGGTCCAGGCTGGATTCGAACCTGCCACCTTAGGTGTACGTGGCTGGCACCTTAGCCACTTGAGCCACAGGTACTGAGCCACAATGTTTCAATTAAACTGGAGACTGTATTGTCTGATGATAGACCATGTTGCTATCCATTTTAAAAAGTTTTAAATATTAGATAGAAACCAAATTGAGCCAGATTAATGTTTAAAACTACTGATTTTCTTCATTAATTCTTTTTTATAGGCTTTCGTATTAAATGGGCACATACTACAGAGCTGAACTAGCTCAGTTAGTCTTATTCCCTATCTTTCTTTTCCAAGTAAAGTTTTACTGAAGTCATAGGGATTTCTCCCTAAGTAAAAAAATTCTGGTAATTTTACATTTACGGAGGGACTTTTGTGTTCACAGATACTCAGTGAGAATAGGACTCACAATGAAACAAACAATCCAAAAGAAGATGGTGATGACAAAGGACCTCTCCTCGTCCTCCTGAAGGAATTCTCAATCCACATGTGTGCACAGGCTCACACACCCATACACGCAGAGTTCTTATTCCGGATGAGTACGTGAATATAATAAAAACTGGAAAACTGAGTGTTTAAGAACGGAAAGATCCTTTGGAAGGAGAGGGACCAGATTTACAGTGGGATTTATTTGTAGAGTTTCTAGAAATATCACAGAGTTAATAATAGCATAGCTTGTCAGCAGATAAAGTGGTCCCAAGTTTGATCAAGTAAATGTTATTGCACAAAGATTATTTAACCAACGCTTACTATTTATTTACTGGTGTTTTTACTGAAATCAAAACTTTAGAAAGTTGTTTGGGGAAGAGGTATAGGAAGCTAAGACTGGTGAAGCATGGTGTCCATCCATATAGAATAGAACTAGTAAAAAACCAAGGCAGGACATTCCAGAAGGAGAAGGGACAGGACGGAGGGTGGTGAAAGCAGGAGGGATTGTCTCCATGGAGCAAGCGTTGTGGGTCCCAGGGGCATTTTCACCATGTCACTACTTTCACTTTAAGCCAGTTAAGTGAGACATACTATCATAGTATGTACTTGGCCTCTACCTACCTGTCAATTCAGGAGAAAATCAGTGGTTATCTGACATATATACAGGGTGTCCATAAAGTTAGTGTGCAATTTACAGTGTGAAGTGTGTGCTCACTTCTCAAGGGGCCCCAGAGAGGGAGAGCTTTCTTCAGAAGACATGGCCCAGCGGCTGGGGCATTTGCAAGAGTGCAGAAGGCCGTGTGTTTAGGTAGTTATTGTGAAGGAGGAAGGGACAAGAGAAGGGAAGGGGGAGGTCTGTGACCCAGTGTTGGCTGCAGGCACAGGAATGACCCCTATTCTCCACATGTGCTGTGTGCACAACCCCGGCCACATTCACGGGTTCATGTGCGTGTAGCCTCCCTTCCTCACCCTGTTAATCGTCTGCTAAAATGACAATCCACTCCAGTCAAGCAATGCTCACGGAGAAAAGGCAAGGAGATCAACTTATTCTAAAAGTTTTCTTTTTCTTTTCTTTCTTTTTATTATTATTTTTTTTTAGTTTATAAGATTTAAATTTACAAATTTAAAAGGCTACATGTTTTACTTTTTCTCCCTTTTCTCTTCTTTCTTTACATCACTCTTTTCCTTAACTTTCTCGTTGTCATCTTTTCTATCCTTTTTGCTCTCTTTTCCTGCCCTTCCTTCTTCTCTGCATCCTGGTCGACAATCTTGTTGTTGATGAGGTTGTGTAGGGCGAGCACAGAACGGATCAGTGGGGCCAAGTACACCACCACCATCTGGTCGTTGGTCTTCAGATGAAAGGCCTTGACAAACTCCTGCAGGCTGACATCTGGCAGCAGGTTGAAGACATCCTGCAGCCGGTAGATGATCTGGTGGTTGATGGGCAGCTTGCCTGTGGCTACTTTTCCTTTTTTTTTCTTTTTTTGGCCAGGGCTGGGTTTGAACCCACCACCTCTGGTATTTGGGGCCGGCTCCCTACTCCTTGAGCCACAGGCCCGTCCCTGTGGCTACTTTCTCCAAGTAGCTCCTGATATCCAGAAGCTTGGAGTTCAGTCCCTTCAAACCAGGGACTTGGTTTGTGATCCTTTGGGAAAGAGTGCCCACTGTAGTGTCTTGGATGTCTCCTAACAAGTGCTCCACTCCAACTTCCTCAGCTGCCTCTGCTCCAGTTTCACTGGTCAGGTGCTCAAATGTTTTCAAAGTGGGAGTTCCATCACTGTGAACTTCTTCCATTGAAATACACCCTTCTGTGGGCAGCCCCAGGTCCTTTGGCTTCCCATCAATAATGACCAACCCTGAGTTAGGGCAGTATCCTTTCATGAGTTCATTGATGGCGATGTCATTCTTGTGCAGTTTAGGGCCTGTGCGGTACCACCCAACTATTCTTTCCCTGGCCTTAACTGTCTTAAACATTCCATACATATTTTCCAGATAATCATGGTCTAAAAACCAGACAGAATCATCCTTGTCATCTTCATCAAAGGATACTGCAAGACTGTTGGATACATCAAGTACTTTCTTTTGCCATGACCCCAAGAGCACACCAACAACACACTTCTGGTTTCCAACCTTGCTGATTTAGTTGAAATGATCCACCACACTGAGCACCCTCTGCACCGCCGGCTTGGGCAACATGACACACCCTGCCCACCAGGCCTGGCTCCCTGAGATCCGCAAAGCCCAGCAGCGGCTCCTCCAGGCCCAGTTCTTCCTCTTCCAGTTCAACAGCAGCCCTCTTTTCTTTTTCTTTCTTTTTCTTTTTTTTTTTTTAACACCGTCTCAACCTTCCTTTCTTTTTTAATAAACTGATTTGCAAATAGGCCTAACCTCATTGGTCAGCCTCAACTCCTATTTATAGGAGCAGGGAACTGTTCCTGCTATTGTTGTTATTATATTTTAATCTTTTTTAATAAACTGATTTGTAAATAGGCCAAATATTATTATATTTTAATCTTTTTAAATAAACTGATCTGCAAATAGGCCTAACTTCATTGGTCAGCCTCCGGAGCAGGGAACTATTCCTGCTATACATTCTTTCAATTCTTTTTTTTTTTTTTTGCAATTTTTGGCCAGGGCTGGGGTTTGAACCCACCACCTCCGGCACATGGGGCCAGTGCACTACTCCTTTGAGCCACAGGCACCCATTCTTTCAATTCTTGGCTGGCGATAATAAATCATTACAAAATGTACCAGAACCCTTTGTGCTTATCTCTGTGCCATTTGGAACATATGTGAATAAATTGGACCCTACTTGCTCATTGCTTTCCTTTCTTTCTCTCTCCCCTTGTGCTTAAAAGTCCTGTTTGAAATCAGTCCCTTAAAGAGCTGGGCATCTGAGTTAGTCTGAGGCTGGGAGGTACGCTTCAACATCTTCCACATGGCCTTGGTCTAGACAACGAGCCACAATCTAGCCAGCCCATTTTTGTGGTTTAAGTGACCTAGAGTCTGGGGCCTTCCTTTGTTGAAGATTTTCTTTAGGCTCCACGTTGTTCTTAACACCCCAGTTTGGGCACTGCACCGATAGTTCATAGATGACCATGGGAATCCAGCTACACTGATGGGAGTAGAAGCTAAAATATCTCCCACGGCTTGACACAGATCAAAGAACGTCTTTCCCTTTCCTGGAAACCCGGTTGCCAGCCTCTTCCAGCCAGGGGCCCCTGGTAAGTGAGAAGAGAATAACTCAGGCTCATCCCAAGAGAGGCCTCCCTGGAAAACACGGGAAAGACTTTTCCAGAAGGAGTTCGCTCCAAAGTATAAAAGGTTCAACCTCCAGCCTCTCACTCAAAAAAGTTTTTAAAGCCTTTTTAAGGAAACAATTTAAACCCAGCTGCACCTATCGATCAGTGATTTGATTTTGCTTTGTTAGGAGGGATTTGTAATCTGCTTTTAAATGTTTTTTGTTCCTGGTCTTCTTTGATAGCAAGTTCTGCCTGAGGCTACTTCTCAAAACTCGTCACTGGAGCTTTCAAGTCTATGTGAATAACTAGAATAATTTTAATCTGTACCTTTCCCTTTTTCCCCCTCCTCCCCTCCTCTACCCCTCTGTATGCAGAAGAAAATGTTAGGGGTTGTAAGAATTTTTCATCATATTCTGCCAAACCTAAAACCGATGAAAAGGAATCAATCATTTGTGTATGTGTGTGTGTGTGTTTGAAAGGAGAAAGCAAGAAAGCAAATTCTATTTACAAAGTCAGAGAAAGTCAATCAGATTTCATTTTCTCAAACACAATCAGGGCGTCTCAAAAAGTATACAACAACTTCTAAAGTCTTGTCTCTGCTACAGTCAAGAAACTGGATTTCAAAAAAAACACCTCTGAGTCATTGTAGAAATGTACTATTTTTGTAACAGAGATAGGTTTTATGAAAACTTTTTCACTTAAAGCTTTTAAAGGGTGCAATCATGCCTTCCATGACATTGTGAGCTATTAATTTTGTCTTCTAAAACGACCATAAAAGAGAGGTTGTTTTATTATTATAGCGTGAGTGAAAAAAATAGAAACTATGCTCCTAATTTAACTAATCACTTCTAATAATTCTCAAGCGTATGGAAACCAAAAACACTTAGAAGATAAATCTGGTTTTTTTTTTTTTTAATTTTCTTAATGAAACGCACACATGCTATTTTTATAACGTAAGCATATGCTTACACATGTATGATCTCTACGAGTTTATTTAGCAAGAAACCAAATATGTGACAAAAACAGACTTTTCAAGTGGAGCTTTAATTGTCCTTCACGCACGTTCTACAACAGATCATTGCTGAAATGTTTATAGGTCCTGCACACAATGACTTTACACCCAAGAAGAGGATAACGTATCTTCATTGTTTATAAAAATGACAGCTCCTAATGGACCATATTAGCTTTAACACAAACTATTAAATCCCCTTCATTAAATTTTTCGTGTGTTCTATTTCGGCATCTCGTTAGCCCTGGGAAGTAGGTGCAAACTCCTAAGGAAACATGAGCACACATTGAGACGATTATAGATCATGGTTATTAGATAAGCCTCGGGAGGATGTTTTTCTTGGGTTGCTCACAAGCATTTTGAAAGAGTCGTGTTCCAGGTTTGAGGTCCCATGTTTCTTCCTCTTAAACTATGAGCAGCTGTAGCACATGACCTACTTCTGTAGAGCCCTGTAATGATTTCCTTCCTTCGGAGGCTTCAGGAGTCCTCCTTCTGCCCTGTGAAAAAAGGGACAAATATTTTAATCCAAGCAAAATGCTGAAGCAGGTTTTGTTGGTTTCAGGGAAGAAACTCAATACAGCTCCAGCACTGAGTGTAGGCCTCAAATTGGAACCATCTGGGTTGCAGAAGGGCTCTGAGACCTTTGGGGAAGCAGAGACAGCCTTGCCTAGGGCTGCGACCCATACACCTGCAGAGATGGCCGATGGCTCGGCAAGCTCTGGGCGCACCCAGGAATCAGAGCGTTGGCAGGGGCAGAGAAGCCCTCATTGCCTGGCACTAGCAGCGGGGACTCTCCTGCAAGGAATGGTGACAACTGCTCGGGAACGACTTACTACGTAAATATTCCTCATAACGAAAGGAGTGCCTTGTTATTTGGGGGAACATATTTGACACAAATCAGACAGAAACACATTCTCTCCTAAATCTTTTTAGCAGAGAAGGTAGGGAAAGAAAGCAGTGTTTCAAAAGCAATGCACCCCCCTTTAGTATTCTCCATAATCTTTTGATTTATTTTTTGTTTGTTTGTTTAGAGGGCTATTATCATTGTTGGGTAGTTTTCTTTCCCAACTAAGTGAAAGCGCTTTTCAAGTGTGCTATAGTATCTAAACAGAAGGCTAGCTCTTGTGAGGTTATTTCAAATAAAGTATTTTTAAAAGACTTTTATTGCAAACTCTGTATGGGCAAGGAGTATCGGAGTATCAACTCAACTGTCTCCAAATAAAAAGGACAAGGACTTTTACTTGGTCAAAGACCAGAAATCTTATCATTTAATTTTAAAACCAGCTTGGAATATATTTTCTGAAAAGGAAATAGTACATAAGGAACAGAAAGGAATTTTGCACAAGTTGTGCATTTAATAAATATATTTTCCAAATATTGCTTGATGAGGAATATATCATTTACAATCTGGATCTTAAATTATTTACTGTGGTTAGAAGCATAATGATTCCAGTGTGGCCATTACAGAAACTTAAATAATACAATTGAATTTGATATCCTGAGAGTAGGAGCCTGCGACAGTCTCAATGCCAAAGTCAGAGGGTGATTTATTGAGAAAGGATTGGTCTCTGGAAAAGGTGGTAATTCAGGGAAATTATAGGGGAGACTGTTGAAATTTTGAGCTTTGTAAAATTCTTAGAAGTGTAAATTAATCTGGTTTCTTCTAATCTTCTCAATAAACCAGTGGACCATATTTTTTGCTTATTAGAAGTAAATTTACTGGCTTATTGTAATTAAACCTATTGACTGATGGAAAATACAGTCACAATGTAGATTATATATGGGGCAAAAATTTTGTCTATTTTTAAAAAGTCAAGAATTATCAGGAAGAATACATTCTTTTTAAATTCCTGAAAGAAAAGTAAGCATTTAAAAATAATATTTAAATTGCACGTCTCACAGAACATCTCAAATTTTTAATAAGTTCTGAGGATATATGTTGTACAAGGCTTCCAAGCACATTGTTAGGGCAAGGAGACGGTACCGCAATTCAGTTCTGAGCTGTTCTCATGCTCACTTCATCCGAAGCTGGCTGGGGGGGAGGGGGGGGGACAGGAGGGTTGTGTGCATTGGGCTTACTTTTTTTGCCCTGTTCCAAATTTATATGCATGAATCTAAATTTTTAACCAAATCTTTGTTCTCTTTCCTCCTGAGGCTGCTTCACACTCCTGCCCACACACCCAGCTGCACCCAGATAGCTTCTCCCTCCTCCCCACCCAGCAGCCTGCACCGCTGTTCAGCTACAGGGTGAGACTTACTGGAGCTGAGCTGTTCAGCTACGGGGTGAGACTTACTGGAGCTGAGCTGTTCAGCTACGGGGTGAGACTTACTGGAGCTGAGCAGGCTTCCTCCCAGCTTCCTGTGGAAAGCCAGTCAGCCGAGACTGGGAAAGACCAGCTACCAACTGCTAGGAGCCAGGTGAAAATCAATTGGCGAGCCCGGTATGGGGGCAGCCTCCAGAAATCTTCTCCCTACCATTTAAGGCTATTATTTTGATACCTATATTAAGGGCTTGGGTTTCTCTAGAAAACACTGGCATTGTCTCATTCATGTAGCTCTGCAAGAATGCTCATACCCAGTGCCTGGGCCAAGTTGGCCCATTGGCTCCAATGAGTTGTGAATTTCTAAAAAGTATCAATGCCTAGACTCAGAAAAGGAAGCCATTCTGTGGGTGTGTCTACGTGAATACTTTTAATATGAGGTTTGATATCATCAGCAAAAGCCCCTATATTAAAGCAATGATTCTAACAGTTGCAAAGCAACAA